TTTTAAACACCTGTTTTCCTTTATTTTTTGGAACTGATTAATTTAAAATTTTTTTGATTAGTTATTTTGATGCTAGTGCTAGGAAAAGAGAGAAGCTAGAACATCTTGAAGTTGGAATGCAAATTTTCTTCTCTTGAGTTTGGGATAATTTAAGCAGTCTATGCAACCCATCTGAATTGTGAGAAATGGTCCTCTGTCATCCCACTGTGCTTTCAGTGACTAATACCTCCCCAAATGTTTCATGTTCTTGCTTGTTATCATCCAACTTTTAACTGAGTTTTGGCTCCTGATGAATTAGGAAATGTTCTTTTTGCACCACACTGTTAAGTTTTGTTTTCTATACCTCTCTGGATGTAAGTTTGAAGCAAGCATGGTACTGTAATCTTACCTGATAGTCTGGAATCATAATTAACTTTTAAGTGGGAGAGCTCTCCATTTTAATGTTTCTAAAGTTTTTGTATGAACGTGGTGTTGGAAAGGGGAGGAAAAGAAAAAGAATGTTTACTAAAAAGCAGTGTCTCCTTTCCCTTGATGAGTGTGTATTTGTGGTTGAATGAAAATAAACTTGGGTTTTGTGTTGCCATGTTAAGCATGGAGAGGGATGCTTGACAGCATGCTAATTGAAGCCAGAGTGAGTATTATCTCCATCAGGTAATCGGGAACTCTTCAGTGCAACTGAGGACCTGATTAGTTGTTGATCATAATGGAATTGGTTACAAAGTGAAAGTGCTGTATGGCTTAAGCACCCAAAGAATGCAGCAGCCTAACTTAGACTTAACCTGTTTTTGAGCTTGAAGTTGACCTTTTCCCACCCTACTTTACACACTTAAAACTGTCCGTTTTCTTACGAGACCAAAGAGCAAAAGGAAAAAGAAAACAAAAAACACTTTACCAATTTATGTCACTCAGGTACAATTTTGTGGTGAGAATTTTCTCTCTTTCTTTGTATTGCTCTTAAGAGTCCTTTCTCAGCATATTATTCTGCTGTTGCCTCTGTCCTCCTTAGGGGACCTCAGTTTTGGATGCTACCCTTGGGATCTCTACTGCTGTTATGTGAATGATAGGATGTAAGTGACCATTATCATAAGGGCTCTTTGTAAAAAATTCAGAAAATTTAAAAAAAATTAAAGAAGGATGTTGTATACATTTTATAGTCTGGCTATCAGTTTGATAACTTGCTGTCAAGTATGTTTCTCAATCTGTATTTATCCATCCCATCAATAAATGTTAATGATAAAACGTTCATCTGATTGTTGTTTATATGTACCATGTCGGCAAATTAGTCCTTAGTCTTTAACTGTCATTTTATTGATATCATTACCATTTTATTTCAGTGTTAATGGCATTATGTTCTTACTGTAAAAGATCCCATAGGGATTCGAGTCCATTGGAAAGACCTAAGCTTTGGCCATTACAGTGAACCTGGTAGAATAAAGGATGTTGTAGTTAGGAGGAAAAAAACCTCATTCTGTATTCTTGAATGAATACTTGGAAGAACAACTTCTAAACAAACAAAAAAGTATAGCTCTAACAGATGATAGCAACATTAAGCCACTTAGCAAGCAATATCAACATGATTCATAAGTATATACATACATATATACATACATTTTATATATATATATATATATATATATAAA